ATGTCTAATAAATCTGTGTTTATAAACTTTAGCAGTTGGGCATACTGTAGATGAAGCCCTACACAGTGGGTTGTATCCTTCCTCCTCCAAATATTTTTCCAAATTGTTTCTGAGAAATACATTTACACAAGATGCTCCAAAAAGGAAGACTTCTGAAGTCTGATAAAGTTAGGGACGTGCTATGCTCCATACTTCCTGTCTTCACGGAGTCTGCAAAGTCCTGCAGCGAGAGCACGTGCTTAACTTGGCATCACCTAAAATGTTCTGACTACACAGATGTAGAGAAAAAAACGTGTGGACACCAAGGGGGGAAGTGGCAGGGGGGTGGTGGTGGTGGGATGAACTGGGAGATTGGGATTGACATGTATACACTAATATGTATAAAATGGATAACTAATAAGAACCTGCTGTATAAAAAGATAAATAAAATTAAATTTAAAATAATAAAATAAAATGGTCTGACTAAAGATTCCCCGATATTTTGGCTTGACACCTTTCAACAGCTTGCAAGCCACTGTAGTGTTCTGTAAGGAACACTTAAAATATACCAGATCAGACCATGAATAGAACAGCTGAAACAACCAGATCACTCAAAAACTCTTGTTTTAGGTGAAAAAAGTTCTTTTTAGGGTGTTGGAGGATTTAGGGGTGAAGTAGCATCATGTCTGCAACTTAATTAAAAATCATTCAGCCAAAAAAGTATATATGTGTGTAAATGCACACACACACACACACACAGAGGGTGCACATAAAATATGGCAAAATGTTCACAATCAGTGAATTACAGGGTAGGTTACAATTTGTAAGAGTTTTGAAATATTTCTCTAGGTTTGAAAACATAAAAAAAGGGAAATCTATAACACAAACACAAGCTGCTTTGATTATTTTGGGCAGTGAAGGGGTTGCAATATGGAAGAGTTGATTAGGAGAGAAAAATAATTTTAAGATCCAAACAGAAGTTTAAGAAGGGGAAGATTCATGTTATTGACTGGAGACAGCTATATACATAGAGAAAAGTTTTGGGGGTCATTCTTCCCATTGCCTTGCTTGTTCCTTTAGGAGTTACGGCTCCATTTTTTAAGAGTCTGTACCTTAGACCCTTCCATCAGGCTAATGGGAACATTGCCCAGAAGATGGTCAGGATGTTCTTTGTGCTTATTCCTGTCCTCTGCACTCCAGACCTCAGCATGGCACAGAGAAGCTTGCCAACTTGAAGTAGTGTGATGTAGACAACGAGGTGGGGAAGCCATCCTGAAAAGGGGCTCCCAAGATTTGCCGGAAGCCCCAATTCCTTGACCAAGTAGAGCCAACAGCTTGAAATGTGCTGTAACCAAGACTGGCCTGACCTTTATCTTCCTTAGGCTGGCTGTTAATCCCAGCTTGCGCTCGCTCTGGGAAGCACTATGTAATAGATTGCATGTCATCTTGTATGCTTCTAGGGCAAGGGCACAGGCATGCAGTATTTTCTGACTAACTTCCCAAGGACTTTAGTGCAGGTTGTGGCACACAGAGGTGGGTATCCCAGTATTCATATTCTGCCTGGCTCTATCATTAGCTGAGACAATATTGCCAACGTTGCTGTTGCCCTAAGGGAGAGAGAAGAGTCGTTTAGTTTCCTGCAGTTTCTGAGCTGCTTCGTCAAGTCAAGTCGTTGCTAATACGCTCTTTCAACAATGCTAGTGTCTCTGCAACCCCGACTCCCCTTTGTGAGCGTTTCTTTTTCCAGTCTTTCTCTTCCTCCCCCCTCTTTTTTTGTTTAACCTTTACAGTAGGTTATAAAAATTGTGAATTGGCTTTGTTCATATTGCTGATACAAGTTTTAATGATAAAGGCATCTACCTTCTTTACTAAGCTTGTCATGGTACACATTAAAATTGTCAGAGTTCTTGTGATTTTCTGTCAGTTGTTATGGTATTTCTATAGCTTTAATATATGGTTCTATCTGTTGCATTTATGATATACATAAAACCTTAAGAATATATTTTATCTAATTATTATATTTGCTAATAAATGTGATATTTATAGACTTGAATATCTTGCACATTAAGGCACTAAAGCTGCAAAAAAGTGTCAGAAAATCATAGTTTCTTATCAATACAAATATATATTTATAATTCATCTTCCTTTTCACGCTGAAACTAAATATTAATCTCTGGAAATTAATAATTACAAATATATTACCAATAAATAATAAAATTATAAAACTTGATATCTTTATTGTGCTTTACATTTTACAAAGTATTGTCACCTATAGTATTAGTAAAGATGGCTAAACAAATGATACTTAAATATGTCTACAGAGGCACTTTTTGTAAATTAGTAAAGCAAATGGAGCTACATAAGACTTGAGGATCTTTTTTGTTTCCTCATTATTTTTGTACTAATTGTTTTCAATAAACCATATGCATTTGAAAGTCTGAAAGTTTTTGCTCATAATGATCAAACGTACTTACTATTCATTATTTCTAAATGTTCTTGATGATACTAGTAAAATTTTAAACAAATCTTTATGCCGTGACCTTTCATGTTAGCCCGACCCATTAAGAAGTAAAGTAAGGATTAAAAGAACTATTTGGTAATTTTAGAAATTTGGAAGTTAGTTATTTCACTGGTAAGTGTGTCTGAATAAAGTTAGTTCTTTATAGATGTAGAAGTGTGGAACAGTTCAAAAATATTCCCCTAATTTTTTCCTGTATGGTGACAGAAATAATATTTTCCTGTATGGTGACATTTGAGAGAAATGATCAGAGATGTTTAACTATCTATTTTTTTTTTTTTTTTTTTTTTTTTTTTTTGGTGCAGCTTTTCCTCTTGAAAATGTATTATTTGAATGTCACTTGTCTAGGTAGAGGACACTCATGAAATGCAAAGAACCCATTTCTGCACACAATGGCTGAGTCTGCTAAGCCCCTCAGGGCTTTTGTTTTATTTTATGTGTCACTCTGTGTTGGAAAGTCTCATTGGAAACTCAGCAAACTGTGATCATCATCATTCATATCATGAGAAAAGGGGTAGTTTGTCCCTACAGATAAGATTTTAAGAGAAAAAATCTGGAGCCTTCAAAACTGGGTACAGACACATGAAGTAAAATTCAGGAGCAGTAGCCCCTAAATTTCCAATGGTCTTAGATTCTTGTCCTTTTAAAAACTTCAACAGCAAAGTGTGCGTTTAATTTCCCTGTGTTGCAAATACCCTTGGCCAGCTCTTCCGGCAGCAGGCTGCTACTTTGCTGAATAAGTCACAGGGCTGTTGGCAAGAAGAAGAAAAGATTGTCCCTCTTTTGAGCATAAAACTAGATTTTCTATTGGGGTTGGCCAAAAGGTTTGTTCGTTTTTTTCCGTAAGATGGCTCTGGTAGCACTTAGTTGTCTTTAACTTAATTCAAATTGTTAGATTGTACGTGACAGCCGTCAAATCAGCGTGCGTTTTAAAAAAAGATTTATCAAAATTGGCAAAGTTTTGTGTAGCCATTTTAGTATTGAAGATGGAAGAAAAAAGCAACATTTTTGGCATATTATGCTTTTTTATTTCAAGAAAGGTAAAAACGCAACTGAAATGCAAAAAAAGATTTGTGCCGTGTATGGAGAAGGCGCTGTGACTGATTGAACGTGTCAAAAGTGGTTTGCAAAGTTTCGTGCTGGAGATTTCTTGCTGGATGATGTTCCACAGTCGGTTAGATCAGTTGAAGTTGATAGCAATCAAATTGAGACATTAATTGAGAACAGTCAACGTTATAACACGTGGGAGATAGCTGACAGACTCAAAATATCCAGATCAAGCATTGAAAATCATTTGCACCAGCTTGATTATGTTAATCGCTTTGATGTTTGGGTTCCACATAAGTTAAGCAAAAAAAACCTTCTTGACCATATTTCCGCATGCGATTCTCTACTTAAACGTAATGAAAATGTTCTGTTTTTCAAACAAATTGTGACGGGCGATGAAAAGTGGATACTGTACAATAATACGGAATGGAAGAGATTGTGGGGCAAGTGAAATGAACCACCACCAACCACGCCAAAGGCTGGTCTTCATCCAAAGAAGGTGATGTGTATACAGTGGGATTGAAAGGGAGTCCTCTATTATGAGCTTCTTCCAGGACCCAAACGATTGATTCCAACAAGTACTGCTCCCAGTTACACCAACTGAAAGCAGCACTCGACAAAAAGCGTCCAGAATTATTCAACAGAAAACACATAATCTTCCATCAGGATAACACAAGACCGCATGTTTCTTTGATGACCAGGCAAAAACTGTTACAGCTTGGCTGGGAAGTTCTGATTCATCCACCATATACACCAGGCATTGCACCTTCGGATTTCCATTTATTTAGGTCTTTACAAAATTCTCTTAATAGAAAAAATTTCAATTCCCTGGAAGACTATAAAAGGCACCTGGAGCAGTTCTTTGCTCAAAAAGATAAAAAGTTTTGGGAAGTTGGAATTATGAAGTTGCCTGAAAAATGGCAGAAGGTAGTGGAACAAAAGGGTGAATACGTTGTTCAATAACGTTCTTGGTGAAAATGAAAAATGTGTCTTTTATTTTTACTTAAAAACCTAAGGCACTTTTTGGCCAACCTAATAAATTAAATTGTTGTATCTTCATTATAATATTTATCCCAGTAATGTTTCAAAATGTTCCTGAGGAGTTAGTTTTAAAATTTGTCTAAATTTGGATTCAGCATTGATTGGCTACTTCCTCTGCTTTCTTTTTTTCCCAGCAGGTAGACCAACCTACAACAGCTTTTATGTCTACTGCAAAGGCCCCTGTCAAGGAGTGCAGCCAGGAAAGCTCAGGGTGCGGTGCAGTACCTGCCAACAAGCGACGCTCACCTTGGCCCAGGTAAGGAGATGTGGCATGAGCAGGCTGCCCTGAAAAATGAATGTATTTCCAGAGTTGCCTTTCGGGGTTTCGAATCAGATATCACCCATTACTGAAAAATTGACTTCTATGTGGTTGTAATGGTTAATGGTATCTGAAGTTTCATTTAAAAATATACTGCTCTGAAATTTTAGGTACTACAGGGCCATTGCCCCCATTTCTTTAATCCATGTCTATTGAAAGGGAATATAGAGACTGATTTTATATCAAAAAGAGGTTGGGGGTGTCTTTTAGAAGCAGCCAAGAAGGATCCTTCTAAGATCTTGGAAATGTTTCATATCTTCATCTGTGTGATAGGAACATGGTTGTATGCATATGTCAAAATTTTTTGGAATCTTCATTTAAGGTTGGTGCACTTGAGGTAAGTGACCCGCAATTAAAAAAAATGAAAAGGAAAGTTGTGGATCAAGGACCAGTATGCATATAAAACAGGGTTGGAAAGCACGATGTGTTGCCACCTCTGCTTGTTTTGTGCAGTCCACAACCTGAGAATGGTTTTTATATCTTTAAGTGGTTGGGAAACGTCAGAAGAGTAGTATTGTGTGACGCGTGAACAGGACATGAAGGTTAAATTCCAGTGTCGTGATAAAGTTCTGTCAGAACACAGCCCCGCCCACATCTGTGCATGTTGTCTGTACCTTTCTTGTGCCCTAGATCAGAGTTGACTGGATGGCCTACAACACCGGACATGTTTACTCTCTGGCCCTTTAGAGAAAAGGTTTGCCACCTGGCCCCTGTTATAAAACATAGGCACAGTAGTTCATGGCTTTAGCGTGATAGTTGTGTAGGATTTGGCTAAATGTGATATGGATGCCAATGTGTGTAGGGGAGCAGAGGGCATTCTGGTCAGCTCAGTGCTGAGAGCACAGCCCAGGAGGCACAGAAGGATAAAGACTTTTACAGGTGATTAGGGGTTGAATTGTAGAGCAGCACCCCCGTGAGCACATCGGGCCCCAGTGACGGCTAGAGCATTTAGATTTTATTCTGCAGGCAACGGGAACAAAGGCAAAGCGTCACAAACAAAGACCATGTATAAAATGATGTTTTAAGACTATTTCTTGGTGCTGTAACAGTTTGTCACTGGGATTGAGACTGGTGACAGATCAAAGGCAAAGAGGTTAATTAATCACCTATTAATTAATTAATCACACTTACTGAATGTAAGGGAGCATTGTGAAAGAACCTGAAGGATGTACCGAGTCAAGGGGAAAGCGTAGATCTCTGACTCAAGCCTGGGGAAATGGCGGAATTACTCAAAAATGTAATTCAGATATCATTAAACTTTGGTCCTACATTCTGTGCAGTTGTCTATCTGTCTATATTCCAAGAGTCTGTAAGCCTCATAAGATCAGATAACTTGTCAGTTTGGGTGCCTGTATTATTTCCAACACCTCACGTGGTGTGTTGCCTGTAGCGGATGGCATCTGCCTTTGAACTTTCACACATTGATTCAATAGATCCACAAACTTTAGAAATTCTATTTGGCATTTTATAATCATATTAATCAGAGTAAGTATGATTGTTTTGCCACAATTTACTGACTTCCTTCCTTACATTTATATTCTGGTACTTGTATTTTTCTCTAATTCTCACCACAGACCTGAAAAGTAGATATCATTATCCAATGCTTTTAATAAAGAGACTCCACAAAGTTAAGTAATGAGTTCAAAGTTACATGGTTAACAAATGTTGGTGCCAGAAGTGAAAAGTCTTTTCTGTATTTCTCCAAAGCCCTGGCCCGTTTTTTAGGATAGATTGCTTGCTATACAAATTTGCTAATAAATGTTCTATTATTCAACTACTTTCCTTGTATTTAAAATATCATTCAAAAATGCTCTTAGAGGGGCTTCCCTGGTGGCGCAGTGGTTGGGAGTCCGCCTGCCGATGCAGGGGATACGGGTGAAAATAGAATCAAAGATGATTTGAAGATTATTTATTTAATCCAGAGTTTCAGTACAGTTACTAGATGTAGCATAACTGGTACCCAACAAAAAAATAGACCAGGCATTTTGTTTTTTCATTAATAACAAAAGATACACACTCAGTAATACCTTCAAACAATATCTCTGTGAGCAGCTGACTAATCACACTGGCAGTTCTGCAAGTTTAGTCTTAGAAATGATGGAGCAGGTGTGGGACTTTGCTAAGAAGAAGGGTTTCTAAGCAGAGAACAGAAAACTGATAGGTTTCATTTGCCCAAAATTTATAAAGATCTACAACGTACACAATTTTCTCTGGTCTGGAAAAAAAAGAAAAAAGAAATAGGATCATGCGTAGCTGACAAGTTATAGGGAACAGATTGTGGCTTACCTGAGCTTTTGCAGGGAGCTTTTTAATACACAGTGAGGAAAATTGGAACCTACTTACCCACCTGGTTTATTTTTTTAAATCATAATTTTTTTTTTTCTGGTTAGAAGAAATCTGTCTGCAATAAGCCCCACGCCCTTCATGAGTCTTAATAGTAACCTCCTAATTATTTTTTGCTGTTGTTGGGGATTTATTCATAATTCCAACATTTCCTCAACACTATTTAAGTTTTACATGCGAGAGAATGAGCCACCTCTCATACGTAATGCTCTAAGGTTGAATTGTTGAAATGTTTCATATTTAATGTGAAACTCGTAATAAATTGGCAAGAAAGAAGGACAGCCATTTCTGTCACAGTGTTAAGGATGGGGAAACTGAGGTCTGAAGTTTTGGCCTGACCTTGAGAGTAAGTTGAGAATTAGCTTGCAGAAAACACCAGGTTTTCTTCTGTCTCCAAGTCAAATGATCTTCTTTAATTCATGGTGACCTTGACCAGGGTTTCCACTAACTGAAATAGCCTTTAGAAAAATGAACACTCACTGGAAAACATCGAACAACAACTGATTGGAAAAACATGGCAGGCAGCCAGTTTTCAATTGCCTGTTCAAAGGTGGTCCACGTAGGTCCACACAGAAACGACACGGGGTTGACCACAGAGGGAGGTGGCTTTATCCATGCGTATACATCTCTGATTGTCTTCTTGAATAATAAAATGAATGATTTTAAATAACCTGTGTCATTACTGTTTCCCTCATTAGTGTGGAAAATCAAATGATGTGTAAATCATATGCTCAGAGCCTTTTTTTTTTTTAATTCAGAAAAGTGGGCAGAAAAAATAAGGTTTTCCAAGATGCGTAGACTATACACTGTTTTTAGAATAACTAGACATTAAAGAAGGAATTCATATTGGAAAAAGAAACAGCACTGAGAGACTTAAAGATTCGTTCCCCTCTCCCTTTCTCCTGGAATCTTGCCAAATTCAAGGTTAGAATGTCAATAGGCATGGTTCCTTCTACTGTCTGTCCTGTTGTTAAATTATAAGTGTGTGGGGTGAAGAGCGAGCCTTCTGGTGAGGAAGAAAGCTCTTAGCTCAAGCTCTCAAAGATTTCCCAGCACCAACGTATATAAACACAAGACTACCAGAGACTGTGTGACCTGTTAAAAAATTTGCCTGGGCTGGTGAAATTTAGGTAGATGTGATGTTGAAGATGAAGATTCTGTCCCAGGGAATCACCTTAAGGGGGTTCCTCCTCCTGAGCCCTGCAGGCTTCTGCTCACTGAGTCCCAGCGGTGTTCTCTCCTACGCTGGGATGACATGTCCTGTCCCTTCTCCCATCACACTCCAGCCGTTGCCCACAGTCTAGATGGGTTGTACCTCCTGTGGAAAACAAAGCTTCTGTGATAGGAAGAAACTACTTTTTCTAAAAGCAAACAGGCTTAAAATATGGTAAGGATGTTTATGAGTAAAATGATTTGTTGACTCTAAAAATAATTACAAGATAGAAAGGATGTAGAAGTGAGATGAGAGAACACACAGAACATAGTGTTCTGCCTTGGAATACTGTATGGGGCTCTAAATTGCCTGGGAACAAAGACCTGGAGAGAATGGCCTCTGTGGTCCTTTTGTCCATCAGATGTTCTGCATTTGAATTCTGGTTCTGTCACTTACTGGCTGTGTGACTTGGGGCAAGTTGCTTAACTTCTTTATGTCTCAGTTTCCTTGTCATCAGTTGGAAGTAAAAATTTCATTAAAGCTGTGAGGGTTAAATGACTTAACTTATGAAAATATTTAGAACAGTGCCTGACACATAATAAACATCTAGAAACCACTAGCTCTTATTGTCATTTCTTCAAGTGAAGAAAACTTTTGATTTTCTACCAAAAACACATTGAAGCAACTGCTGAACTCACATTGTAAACTTACACCTCTAGGGCACTTCAGTTCTGGTTAAGTTACAAATTGTTAATTCCTCCAGCACAAACTCTAGGTAACCTGAGTTATCCGCTATTAACATCTTTTTGTTTGCACCCAGTTTATTAGTCTTAAAATGAATCAGAACCCAGGAGATTACCGCAGCCACGAACTGTGGATGATTTTTTTTCCCCTACAATCACTGTAATTACTTTAACTCAAAAAGAACTTTATCTTTGCCACTCTAATAAGATACTCTGCCCTGGAATAGCATTAAAGCTAAAAGGTTTCTGATGATAAATGGTGAAATAAATAGAATAAGTTGTACAAATGCCTGACATGATGGACTTTATTTACAATTGGTTTATAGATTAGGAACAATTTATGTGAGGAAATTTATTAAGAAATATACTCTAAATGTATAACTGTTCCTAAACTTAATATTTGTTAGAGATTAATTGTTGACCAGGAGTCTACTTACTTCCCTTAATATCAAAACCTACTCTTACGTACATAATAAAGTCACAAATGTAATAAAACTGTAGATGAGAGAAAAGGAGAATGGACAGAATGGCTCCTTGGACTTGTCTTGAGCCCCATGGTTCAGGGGAGAGTGAGAGCAAAGAGTGGACAAAAGAGGTTTTTCATCATAGTCTGTGTGAGAATCAGGGCAAAAGCCAGAGCCAGGCAGGCCTGGGGACAAGAACGGAGCCCAGCATCATTCTGGCACCAGGAAGATGCT